CCAGAGGCTCTGTTTGTTTGTTGAATGTTAATATTTCCTGTTGGAAAGATTCAAAAAGAAATGCACACAAAATGACTCCACATAGACACAAAATGAGCACAAATAAATGCAGAAAGACCACAAAGAGATACAACCCCACAGAGCCACAAAATACCACAAAGACACACAAAACAAAGACAACGAACACAGAACAAAGCGCGCCTGTTGTGCTGCCTGTAGTGTTGGTGGGACTCTCGCTCCACACGTGTCTGATGTAAATCAGCATGTTCACTGTCGTTTCTCTCTGAGGATGGAGCCTCCACAGTGACTTTATGCTCTTCGCTCCCCGCTGAAGTGCAGCGTTGACCCACATGTTGGGTTCAAAGAAATCTTTCCAAGTAGAATGAAGTGCCGAGATCCGACGGCAGGTGGCAGTAAATAGACACCAACCGAACTTAGAGGCCGCACTGGGCTCAGTGCAGACGAGGAGCTGCGTCTCGCTCCAGCTTTTATTTTGCTCGAGTTTCAGTGTTTCTCTGCAGCTGTGTTTAACACTGGTGGGTGGGTTTTTCCGTGTTTGCCAGTGAGACCTTTGGCAGCAGCAGGACCCGCCTGGCAGCGCTACAAAGAGCCCAGTGTTTGCAGTTCACAGGCCGTTTACATAAGGAACTAGTTGACTAGCCTCACTCCGTTGTTACGACCGAATATGACAGATATTTCACTCTGGTGGTTTGGAATGTTTAGGCCTTGAATGCATCGTGCCCCTGAACGCACCGTCGGACTGAGGTCAGCCAGGGTCAGGTGTGCGTCGCGGTGTTGGAGCTGTGTTTGGCAGCGGGGAAGTCTCGGCCTTTGCAGGCTGGAGCTGATCTGACATCACCATCACATATCGGACACCTACACACAGGGTTCCTCATTTAATTCACTACACGAGGGAGTGAAGCTGAAACTCGGGTGATTTCATCACCAGCTGACAAACTGTGACAGAAGCAGAGGAGGGTCCAGAAACCTGTGAATTAATAAATGTACAGTTCATTAGTGTACAAACTGTACATTATTAATTAATCAATGCCAAATAAGTAACATTTCACGCTCTAATATAAAATAATCCCAACATATTATTATTTGTAATTCCAAATTATGTCAACTTCTTGCCCCAGTGGCTACATCGTACTGGACACCGGGTTCATTTCTTACACCTAAAAGCTTATGTTACTGTCTGTGAACAACCCTACCAATGTACGTCATTGACTCCATGATGCTGAGGTGCCAGTGCTGGGCCAACAGACTGGTCAGCCTGGAAGCCCGGGGCTTGAGCTTGGGGCCAGAGCTTGGGGCCAGGTCTGATGGACCTCACAAGCCTCCCACAGTTACCAGAGATTTATTATCTACTATTGGTTAATAAACAGTGTTTTACTGGAACAGCTGCCGGTGCTTCACAGGGCAAACATCCAGCTTTGTTACATGAGGATGAACAGAAGCAGAAGTACATGCACTGAAGTAGAAGTTGCAATACCACAGTGCAAAAATACACATCACATTGATAGTTACAGCTGGTAAATGTGGAGATGATGTCAACTACCATATATACACTTGTACTGTGAAGTACTGCTGGGTAGCTTGTCAGTTTTATACCAGGGATCAGTACATCCTGTGATTATTCTGTATCGTTTTATTAATCTCATACTGAAAATTAACTAGTAACTAAGCAAATAAAAGTACTGAGTACAAAGTATTTCTTTGAAATGTAGTGACACTGAAAATAGTCAACTACAGTCAAAATGGTACTTAAATGTACTTAGTTACTTTCCACCTCTGCAGCAGAGTGCGCCAGGCTTTCTCCCCCAGATCAACAGACACATCCTGCGCCTCAGCTGCCCCTTGAGAGACACAATCTGGATGGGCTTCCTGTTTGAAACATGGCCTTGTGCGCAGTGCTGAACGTGCTCAGAGCCACCTCTCTGCTCTGCCTGTGCCCACAGGTTGGAGACACTACATCTGTAGGATGCTGGGCTTACACTGTACCTGGCTCGCCCTCAGGCCCCCCACAGGCTCCGGCATCGAGGATGGAAAGCAAGTGTACTGAGGGGTTTGAATGGGTTCAAACTCTGGCTTCAGGGAATCTGCCTGATGCGGACACTGTGGTTGGGTCTGCACTGCCCACAAAGCAGAATCCCATCGGTGGCGCTGGTGAGCAGCCGTGTTCAGGCTTTGAACGCCAGCGGATGCATCTCTCAGGTTCTCACCAACACAGAACCATCATCCACAGATGAAACACAGTCTGTGCTTTCAAATGTGTTAACAACTAAGGACTCTGCCAAAAATCGAAGCTGGCACTGTGACGGGTTACCCACAGTCTACAAGCTGATTACCATACTGCACCGACATGTGCTGTGCAAGGTGGGAACACGCACTCAGCCTGGCTCTGCCCAGCGGAGACACAAGCTGCTTCGCCTGAGACTTGTTCAGACACTCACTGATGTAATATGAACCAAAACTGAAGTGTGACAATTTGTTGGAGGGGGTCATGTGCTCCAGCTACATTCTCCACATACTGATGCTACCCGTCTCCTCATGAAAGTGCTTTTCTCAGGTGTGTGAGGCTCGACTCTAAAAATACAGACCACAACAACCAATTATGTTTTTTTAATAATTGCATTTTTATTAGTTGGAAATGAAACAAAACAAATGCAAATAAAAAAAGAGGCAAAACAAAAGTTTCATTAGGTAAAAATGTGAGAGACACTTAAATAAGAAGAGTTCCATGTTGGTGAGGACAAAGGTGAAGGCGGGGTGACCTTTGGGGGGTGCAGGTTGGATTATGTACATCGTTTCTCACTGCAGGACTGGCAGGGCCCCGTAAAGGGAGGGGCTCAAAGTAGCAGGTCGGAGACGCTGAGACCAGAGAGAAAGGCACTATCCAGAGAGAAAAACCAACAAAATCACAGTGAACACACGCGCACGCACACACACACACACACACACACACACACACGACCAGACCACAAATTAACATGTCTGACAAAAAAGTGCTTGACCACGCGCTGAACGTTTGACATGGCTGAAGCAGAGCTCGGAGCGTGAAGACGCGGTGCAGGTGCTGACACGCGCCAGGATCATCCCCACTCGGCCTCGTTGCTACGTGCAGGTATAACAAGGAGGGGAGTGCGTGCATGCGTATCATGAATGTGCCTGAACATGCATGTCCACATCCTCACACACCGCTCTCTACGGCAGCCCTTGTGTTAACGCCTGTGGACGTGGTCAGCTCTGTTCACGGCCCCAGGACCACGCCGGCCGAGCTCTGCGCGCTCGCGGCTCTACTTGCTGGCCAGTGTTAGCTTCCTGACAGGACGAGCTTCTTCTCAGGCTACTGCGACTTTCCCTGCATTTTGGACAGGAGAAACCTTTTCCAACCAACTCACCAGCAGTTACATGTCAGGCCGTTTCATGCAGGGAAACTATGGAAAATAAAGAAACACTTTGACAGTTCAGCACATTCTAGATTTACTAGGTCTTATCCAGACTAACGAAAGACTTAACATAATTTACAAATGGAAAAAAATACAATTTGTGATGAGAGGTAAAACAAACATACAAATATATAATATATATTCTTAAAAAATGGATTCTCTCTATAGTCGATTTATTTATAAAGCCAGCGGCTGACGCACAACGCTCACATGCCAATGATCAAGCTGGAAACCTGCTCTAAGGAGATGGCAGCAGGTGTTTCTCTCTTTTCTCACATTTTTAAAACCACTTTTTTATTTCCTTTTTAACTTTTCTTTAAAACAGAGTTAGGATTTCATTTAGGTGATTAGAACAACATGCGGCAAAGGAAGAAAGAAGAAACACAAAGAAAGGCAGAATGTTAAGAAGAAGTGGGGGGGTGGGACGACAGAAGCGGCTGTGGGAGCGCCAGGTTCACGCGTCGCGCTACGCTTTCCATTTCCCTCAGGGACAGTCCGGTCGTCAGCCAGGCGCCCACCACGCAGGTGAGCGTCCTCAGCGCAGGTAAAAGTCGATTTTGCTCAGCTGCCGCCCACACAGCGGCACCTACGCCAGCACTACTCCTGCTTTCACTCCCAGTTGTTCTTCCCGTCTGCTCCTGTGATGGTGGGATGGCCAAGGGGTGGAGGGTGGTTGGGGTTGGATGGAGGGTGATGAGACCACGAGCGGTGATGATGACGATGGTGATGGCGGCTGTTGACAGGGTCTGACTGTTTACATGTTCCGATTGACTGGCGTGACGTAGTTGCGGGGGAACATGCCCGTCTGGCCGTGGCAGCCTCCTTTCCACCAGTTGGGGTCGGAATTGTCTAGAACCTGGATGAAGTCGCCGCGTCGGAAACCCAGCTCTCCTTCCTCCTGGGGGTCGAAGTCGAAGAGCGCCTGCACGTATGTGGGATGCTGTGCACAGTGAACAGAAGGAGAAGAGGGTGACAGGTTAGCACGGGGCGGGTGGGACAACATAACAAAGTCATACACAAACAGTCGCCACCGATTTCTACGTCTGTGGCGGCGCTGGCTGAAGCAACATCTTCTGGAATAAGGCAGGAAAATATTCACTATGTTGTTTTTAGCTAAACATCCTGGTTTTGTAGTTTATTAAAGGACCTGATTTATTGTTGTGTGTTTAACTGTCAGACTCTTTATGCTGCTGTTCTCGGTCCGGCTCCCCCACAGGCTGTAAACCTCAAACAGGGCTTTTCCCCGGTAAAATAAACTACACAAGAACAGGACGGCTGACGTTCATGTCACTAATTCTTTCTCACCCGTTTCCATCCTTCTGCCCCCCACCCCTCCATATTCAAATTGATTCTCAGTACAATACTGATGTTTTCACGCATCAACAGTTTCCCACCAGACAACTTCAGCCAACCCCCTAACCCACAATGCCACATCTGGTTTACACACAGGAACAAAGCTTATACTTCACTCATGGGGACAGAACTCGCACTGCTTTCTCCAGAGAACAGATCGGCCCTCTGGGAGATGAAGCAGACAGCGTTATGTGACAAGCTGGCGGTCCTTTGACTCCTGTCTTATCAAGGCATTTGTAGTTTTACTAGCAAAGATCAAAACGTGTCGCTCTGTACAGTATCTACGCAGTCCAGATATCACTAGCGATGACTGAATGTAGGACTCCATTAAAGGTTCTTTACATCATTTTAACTCCAGTCAGTGTGCAGAGTGCGAGCAGCGTGTGGTTCGGGCCCACAACCAACTCGCCCTTTATTGTTCTGCAGCGATAAGGACTTTGCTCCCCCACAAGCGACCGAGACCGGGGCAGAGCAGTACCTATGAATTATTAACCTCTAAATATACATTCAGCTTTCTACTGCGACAGATTACCTCGGTTCATGTTTTCGGCCTCACTCTGACAGCGCTCTGGGTGTGAGCTCAGTGTGTTGGGGATGTCAGCTCTTACCTGGGGGACCTGCTCTATGTCTCGCAGAAAGATCTGCTGATTGCGGGAGACGGAGGTGGAGCGATGGTAGTCCACCAGCTCGTTGAGGGAGTTAAACTTCACCACCCACAGGAAATACTTTCCAGCTCCATCACGAAGAACCTTGAAGTGCTGGACGTCGTTTCCAAACCTGCAGACGAGCACAGAGAGGGGGACTGTGAGGGGGGGGAAACCCCAGCAACGTGGTGCAACTTCTGACAGGAACAGACTGAGCTGCTATAAAGGCAGTGAGCAGGTGGGTGGACTCAGGACAGACTGTCACCGAGACCCATATCAACATCACATACAAGCTGAATTAAACAGTCAGAATGGAGAAATATACACAAGAGGACACGAGCTGTGGACGTGTCAGATAAAAGACCTGAGGTCCAGCACTCAGTACAAACGGTCAGCGCACTGGCCAGCAGAGGGCAACGCTGAGACGCCTCAGGAATAAGGAAGTGGCTGAGCAGACAGATACTGAAGGACCTGCTCAGCCGCACTGATGCAAGACCCATGTTAAACTAGAGGACTGTGATGATGATGATGGTGGTGGTGTGGTGCTGCTCACTTCACAGACAGGGAGAAGTCCCCTGGTGCACTCTCACTCTCTCTGATGAGGAAGGCCCCGTCGTGCCTCTGTTTGTTCAGCATCTCCTCTGCTTTGGCCCGAGGAATCTTCCCGAAGAACCACCTGCAGGAGGGACAAAAACGAGTGTGAGCTGACTGAGCGTTGTTCTCACACACCCTGGATCTGTGGAGTGTGAAGGAACTGAGAAGACTCAAAACACACTGAAGCCCTTTTCAGACGTGCACCGACAGCTGACCTCGGCCAAAACCACCGGTGTAACAGAGCTAACACATGCAACACCCACCCCCACGAGGAATTTAGAGTTTCACTTTAGCCAAAGTGCCAGTGTGTGGACAGTGGAAGGAAAACCGGCGGGGGCAGAGTGCGAACATCACAGGTCTTGCTGGCCGACATGAGCATAGAGGGGACCGCTCAGAGAGCCAAACACAGAGAACTACATGTGATTGAGCATCTGCTCTGATAAAGATACAAACCCTCTGCAGGAAAAACACTACACCAGGAAGTGAGGAGAGGAGCTGCACAGGCTGGGGCCTCTGAAGCTGCACGGAGCAGCCGCACACCAGGAAGCAGATTAGTCACCATCTAATTATAGAGGCACAGTTTGTTCCTTAACTCTTATTGTGAAGTCGTGGGCGCCTGAACTGAGAAGCTTCACCTTTAACAAATAAAAGTTTCATTTAGGGCTGCAACAAGTAATCAATAAAAATCTAATAGAAATAGCTGGCACCAAATTTAAGTATCGATTAGTTTGGTCTAGTTACAGAGCTGTGTGAGACACAGCTGGGTCAGTGCTACTGGTCCACACCCCAGCTCAGGAGGTGGCGGTTGTGCACCAGCAACTTAGTTTGCCAGCCGCCAATCGAAATAGAAAGACGACGACGCGATGAGAACGTCTGAGTCGTGTCAAAACATTTGGAAAATGGCAGAAGCTACAGCAGAGAAACGTGGATGACCAAGTCGCCTAAAGCTTGGGTGCACGTTGTTTTACTGTCGAGACGTTACAGAACAACAGGAGCTTAATGTTAAGTCAGTCAGTTTTCATTAATGTCAGAAATTACAATGCACCTGATTTTAAGTGAGGTGGTTATGCCGTTAACGACATTATGATGCTAATGATGTGTTTAGGAACATAATGGTGGGTTGTGATGCTAAATGCATCTTCATTTGTGCTGTGAACAGCTGAGCATTGTATTAAACACAATAAGCAAAACAAAATGATAACGTTCTAGGTGTGCACAGGAACATTGGTGACATTATGCCTAAATGAGCCGAGGACCGTTTACTCCTTCACTTTTAACCGTCGGTGCAGCGTCATGTTTGTACTGGCCCTTTATCAACATGGTGTTTCATGAACATACAGCCTAAATTATCAGTCATAAAATAGTGTTTTCATTAACACTGACCCGCCGTGCGCTGTATAAATGCTCTGTTCTCGAACAAATACTTAGTTTAATAATGCACTGCACAGAAACATTGCTTAAGTATTGTTAAAGAATGCAGTTTGTGTAAGATGGAAAATAGATTTGTTTTTATACATTCGATCTATTGTTGAAATGATCAACAGATTGATTATTATTAAAATAAGCATTAGCTGCAGCCCTAGTTTATTTTTAGCTGCATGTACAAACCCAACAGTGTGAGGACGTCCTGATGGACAGAGAGGGAGGAAGAGACCAAGCTCTTTACTTGTGTAAATAATTAAAAGGTCCAGTCAGCCAAAGATGACATGTTGGCTCCTTTACATGCAGGCCAACATCAATAATGAAATGGCCACCTCCTAATCGGCTTTGTATCTGTGCTTGGCAGCAGAGCAGCTACTGGGAAAGGCAGGCAACCTCAGCAGCAACGCACCTCCTTTCTTCTCAGACTGTCACACAACCTGGAGTAGGAAGCACAAAAAGTAGCGACCGCTAGAGGGGTAGAGGGCCTGTGTACACGCTGAAGGCACTGTGACATGGAGCAGAGACAGATGTGCAGCCCAGCTGTGTGGCTGCCGTCTGCTCTCGCGTGCCACACCGCTGTCACCACTTAACTTCATTGTCATCACAGGTTTTGACTGGCTGCACTGGGGGCGTCTCTTCATAACCTGAGGCACCGTTTCCCTTGATTTCAAAATGTCTCCAGTAAATGAGAAGCTGCTCAGCTGCCTGAAGCCATTTACAGCTCTATGGAACACGGCCGGGCCCTGCTTATCACCTGGTTGTGGGTTTCTACCGGCCAAACGGCGACTGTGTGACAGGACCCTTCAGGCCTTATGTGATACCATCAATGCATCTCCACCTTTCAGCAACATCTACACAGATTTCTCAGGACGAGACACCCAGTATTCACTAACCTCTGCCAGACTCAGGAACGACGCACAAATATTAACACCAGTAAGCGAATGGCTGGCACAGTGGGAAACGAGGACAAACTCCACTTGCACCAGTGTTTCTACTGGCTTTCTTCAATTAAGAAATGACAGTAAGTTGACTGTTTTAATCAAGAAATAACAGATCACTCTGGTCATCATCACAGTATAGAGGACTGTATCATATTCATTAAATCCTTGTGTTAATAATCAATATGACAGTGACCCAGCTAACAATAGCACCCTGACCTTCACAGTCAGCCTTGTGAAGTACTCTGAACATTTAATACCGACTTAAACTGTTTAAACCTGGAGTTCTCCTTGAAGGACAGACAAATCATACTGCCCTCTTCATGTGACGCACAGACCAGCCCACTGTCAACTTCTTTTTATAAACACAGATTTTCCAAACAGAACTGCTTCAGAGCCATTCTGTGTTTACATTTGTGTTCCCAGTCCCTGGCACAGCCTTCACACGAGTCACAAAAGACAGCAGGCTGTGATCTGCCAGGTACCAACGTGCACCGTGTTGTTCAAGCCACAGCAGCAAGTAATGACTCTATAGTGATACAATCTGACACAGCAACCATCTTATCAGACAAATATCGCGTAGTCTAGACCTGGCACAACAGATCTTTTCTTGTGGAGAAGTGCCAGGTCCTGCACATGCACTGGATGCTAAACACAACCTCTAATGTGCCTGGGATGAGCGACAGAGGGGAAAATTAATTCTAAACCCTGATGAGAAAGATAATGATCGGTTTAAATGGGGAACTTCGTCTCATCTGAGTGAGACAGGCAGTGATAACCTCATGAAGTGTCACCTGTCTGATGACGAGCGATTCAGCGCTCTGGACGCTGATCCGCCATAACCGTAATAAAGATCCATAAACTGGAGTGTGATTGCCACATTAGTACAAAGGCCAGAGAAAGCAACATAAGATCAGTAAGACAGGCCAACACTAACACTACAGCTCCAGCTATAATGGAACAACGTCAATATTCAATTAAGTGTTCAGGTCCAGGGGTAACATCCTCTAAGGATCCCGCCAGGAGCCGTCTCACAGGGATCTCAGGTAGTTTGGACATTTGGACTGAGGAGACCTAATCTATTTTTTGTGTCAGAAGCACATATCATATATGCACTCAGTGGTCAGTTTATTAGGAACAGCTGAGTCAGTTTAACCCAGCAGTGCTGCAGTAAATCCTTCATGTTCAGTTTGTGCTCAGACTGTTTTACAGAGGTGTTGGTTCACCTGTGTGACCACGGCAGAAGCTGAGAGTTATACCGAGAGCTGTGTCTGTGATTTAGCTTGGCCTTACTGATACAAATAGTGGTGGACAAAATAATAGTAACACCTGTCAGCTGTGAAACAGTGTGAACGCAAACTGAAGATCACCTTGATGAGGGAGGACTGTTGGACCAGACTGACTCAGGTTGAGCTAGGTGTTCCTAATAAACTGACAACTGAGTGTTTGTCACACACATCCACAGATACTTCAGACAAACAAGTGTGCATAATACTTACGGATGAGCTTTCATCTCTATGTAGTTCTTGGGGATGAAGCCATCTTTTCCATTGAGCTCTGCCTTGTACCAGTTCTGATCACACTCTTCATTTAATACCTGGTGTTGGCAAAAACACACAGGAGTTGTTCAGGTTAGTGCCACACAGAGAGGTCAACAACGCAAAGCAACGGCTCTCCTAAATTCAGCTCTACAGCAGTCGATTTACTTCCCTGTGACTTCAGACTGAAGGCACGTGCACAGTGTGTCTGACAGCTGCTTGGTAAATGCTTCAAAAGGGTTTCTAGCTGGTAAAAGAACAAATGATGTGTCTAAGGCTGCCGCGATTAGTCGACAATCAATTGTGTCGTATGTTTGAATAATCGATTAAAACAAATGCATTTGTCCAATGTCACTACATGGCTGTCAGCCACGAGTAAAACCACCAGAAGAACAAGAATACCACTACATAACTGTTGCCTTGTTTTTGGCTCCAGTCATTGGTCGGCTGCAGTTTTAAAACATCACCACGGCCGCAGCAGAGTCCGTCTCGCTTTCGTTAGCATACCACAGCAGCACTAGCATTATGCACGGGCTTCTGTGGTCAATCAGTGTCACTGACCAGTGCCAGTGTGTGTGTGTGTGCGTGCGCACTGCACTCATGCATCCTTTTACATAGTCTAAGGCTCACGCACGATGTCTGCTGGGACACGAACCTTTCTGGAGGAAACGGTTGTTAAGTGGCAGCTCTAACTGTGTCTGTATTAGCCCTGCACCTTTAACTATAAAGCCTCGTGTAGCGGTGACCAAGACAGCTGGGAGGATGACCATGTCTGACGAAGTGCAGGTGGGTGTGCTGGGCCTGCTGTGCACCCATGTGTGCCCGTCAGTGTCCCTGTGTGAGGCGCTCATGAGAGGGGAATTATGAAATATCCTTCATGCTGCAGCAGCCAAGCTACCTATAAAAAGTGCTAATGAGCATCGTTCCATTTATAACCTGACACGTTAGGTTTTTTTTTTTTCTGTCTCGATTTAACAACCCACTCACATCTGGACACTCAATGTGTGTTTGGATTGATTGAAACCATTTAAAGCCCCCTTTCCATCACCTGGTACTGGCTCAGCTCTACTCTACTCTACTCACTTTTGGTACCAGGTGCTTGGCTTTCCACTGCAGATGGGCCCCTCTCAGTGTAGCTGGTCGTCATAGCAACACCGCATTACACCGTTGTGATGCCATCAGCAACAAACACAGTAACAACAGAGGACATCGAAGGTCTGCCATTATTGATTTTTGGTGTGTGGCCGTTTTTAGTGGTTAGCGTTCTTTGTTCCCGGGCGTCTCACAAGGTGATAATGTGGTTTGTCTGACCAGTTCCTGGTCTGCAGTGTTTACACATCACTGTTTGGCACCGCCTCTGCTCACCTGGAACCTCGACTGAGGTGATGCCAGACACAGAACCAGTTACCAGGTACAATCCCCAACATCTGACTGGTGGAAACAGAAATAAGGCGAGTTGGGCCGGTACCAGGCGGTGGGAAAGGGGCTTTAAGCAATAAACTGTTTATAATGTGTATCCCTGAGACAAAAACAAAAGGAAATTAAAACAAGGAGAAGATGACAACAACATTTATGAGGAAAGGTAGTGACAGTACATTGCTCCTTCTGTGAAACCGTCACTGCACTTCTGCTTTTCAGCAACATCTAAACATTTCAGAGGAAAACGGAACAGCAGCAGAGAGTCATAGCTTCCATTTAAATGATGCTGCAAGAACATTCAGCGGTACGAGTCTGAGTGCCACAGATCAGCAGTGTGTTACGTCACACAACCAAGCTGTCACTTGTAACCTGTGGTAAAGCCAGGCAGCCATGAACCTCACCTGGACACTTTCCTCCAAACAACTGGTCAGGTCAGTTTCGTTTCTTTGCCTATCTCTGCTCGTCTGCAGTTTTGGCTCAGCACTGACGCAGACTGCTGACCATCGTCACATCAGACTGACATCTCTACATTTCCTAAATCATTACCGTCTTATACTTTGCCTCATTCTTCCTTCCCTATTAAATCCAGACCTCCCCCAAATCCATCCCCAGGCAGCTGTCCAGTGAGCCTGCAGAATGCCAGCTGTCACTAGTGACTGGCATTACTGGGGGAGGGTGTGACCCTGGGGCAAGCACATGAGTAGAACAGGAGTGTGTGTGTGTGTGTGTGTGTGTGGGTGGGTGGGGTGATGCACGTGTAACATGGTGGCTGGGGCTAAAAGGGCCTCAGCCTCTGGGTATAAACTGACACACACCGACCTTTCAGAACCAGCACCACAGAGACAGACTGATCCAATGCTCTGAGCTCTGAAGCAGCCCCTAAACATCAGTGACCCTCCACCGTGTCTGACTGTAGGGACATGTTCTTTTCTCTGAAGGCCTCATTTCGTTTTTTGAGAAGAGTAGAATAATGTGCTCGACCAAAAAGCTCTGTTTTAGTCTCATCTGTCCACAGGATGTTCTGGTTAGATTTGGCTTTTTCTGTTGTTCCAATGCAAACCAAAGAAATAAACATGAGAACACCAAAGAATCTGTGACTGGAACAACTTGCTGGGAGAAGTGGTGGTTATCTGACAGAAATGCAGCAGTGCTGATATTTCTGGTCATGACTGTAGAGACATGCTCTGACAGCTGCACTGGCAAAGACAGCTCATAGTCTGATGATGGCACTAGATAAACGGTGGTGATAAAAGCTATTAAGACTGATGCTGTGGGGACCACAGATGTCTGCTAGAGATGGTTCAGTAAAAGCCAAAAGCATTAAACCACACAGAGTTAGAGGAAGAAGTCAGGGGAACCCCAAAGTCAGTAGGACAGCGTGTCTAGGAACCACAACTCTGTAGAAAACTTTGCATGATCATCAAATAGATGTAGTGCTGACAATCCATCCAAAAGTGATTTAGACATCTCACTAGAAACCACAAAATTCAGCTTTATAAAGGACATATCAGGGGGTCACCACAAACAGCACCTCTGGGGATCATGAATGCATGTACAAAATTTCATGACAAACCATCAAATAACTGGCCACTGCCAACCACAGAGCTAAGACACCAGCAAAAGCTTTGTGATTGCTGGCAGCAGACATGCAGATGCCAGCGTGGGGCGTTGGGCCTCAGCTTGTCTCACTACAGTAATACTGTGAACTCCAAATGACCTCACGTTTTAGCGACTGCTGACACCACATGCACACACTCGCTGTATATTTTACACTTATGTGAGATGAAGCATTTGGTTTAATGATGTCCTGCGGGTGTCGTGGCCGCCGGCTCTCAGAAAAGCTCATTCTGGGATGCAAGAATGACGTCCTGGGCTCACAGTTGTGACAAACATGTGACGGTGCCAGTAAAAGATTTGTTTCATCTGTGTATGCAGATCCAGGGGACTGTACATCTGCTGTTAGAAGAGTGAGTCGACAGGTCTCTCGACCAACAATTCGACTAGTCAACTTTCAGGGGGCAGCCCTAACAAAAACATAAAACCTCCTGCAGGGTGAAAACCAAAATGGTGCCTGTGAACGAAGAGAAGTTGCATGCTCATCTCAGATCAAGTAAAGCCCAGTGGCAATGGCTGGTTTATAGATTTGGAGTGACATCTGAGCTCAGACACTTGCAGGTTTACCTGGTGGCTCTCAAAACTGATAGAGCAGCAGCCCAGGAGGAAAAGCAGAAGGCAAATATTTGCTTGGTTGGCAGCTTTTTCACCCCTGCAGAGGGGAGACAGCTGCAGCACCATGTCTGACCGAGCTTGGTCTCTGCTCCACGCCGAGCCAGCACTGTGACACGTGTCCCCGTCCCCACTCTCAGGATTTCTTTTTCTTTTTAATCTGATTGAGACGCAATAGTTGCAGGAGCTTCTATGTGAGAGGCTCAGGTCCCGACCAGGGATTATCTCCTCCACAGCAGCCACTGTTCCCCCTCCTTCCTCCCACATACTAAAAATATTATAGTGCTGCTGCCCACAAGCCCAAGAGCGACACTAAGCAAGAGTAGTTGTCATGTATGAGGCCTAATAAAGCAATAATTGTGTAGGCTTTATTAAAACATTGACCTGACGCACTATCCTGTGTAAACCCATGTGATAAACAAGGTTATCGAGTTTGCAGGTTGTCAATATTCTAACCGAGCTGTGTTGTCTTTCTACTCAGGATTAATTTAGAGATGTAGGATTTGTTCTTTTATTCTGTCATCACATGAAAAGTCAATGCAGCAACTCATGTTCTATAACCATGTTTAAGTTATTCCATCCATCCATCCATCCATTTTCCTCCGCTTATCCAGGACCGGGTCGCGGGGGCAGCAGTCTAAGCAAAGATGCCCACAATTCCCTCTCTCCAAACACTTCCTCCAGCTCCTCCGGGGGAATGCTGAGACATTCCCAGGCCAGCCGAGAGACATAGTCCCTCCAGCGTGTCCTGGGTCTTCCCCGGGGCCTCCTCCTGGTTTAAGTTATTCTGTTGTCTAAATGAACAAAAGTTATGACAGAAGGGCAGAAGTTTGTCACTGTCTATTGCTGGTGACATGTTCACATTTTAACCCATGTTCACAACAAGATAAACATGATTGTGAGGATCAGGAGGAGATTATTCTGACATCCTTACTTTTGCTTTCCTGACTATCTAGAACTGTATGTCACAAAGAAGATCCTTAAAGCACCTTATAAGCATACGATGATGCTCAAAAGTCTTTATTGCATAAGGTGTAGACAGGAACGCCTCACTGAGCATTACGCAACACTGGCTGAGGTAGACTGTGACACAGGCAGTGGGGGCAGCAGAGAAGGCGAGTCTGCACAGCCTACACAGGATTGCAGTAAACCAGGAGCAGGGATTAGCGGAGTGTGAGTGAAGCCAAGTGTGCAGCAGATCGGCCAGATAGAAATACAGACGGCTCAATTTTCACCAGAACCTCTGAGGCCAAGACATGTTGGGCCAAGTTTTACCGGAGTGGACTGAGCCCCATCTGATATTTGCAAGTCAAAAGGCAACCAGGAAACCAACAAACACTGCTTGGTTATCTAATCAGACCACAGAAAATTATCAGTTACAAAGGTGTACCTGTAACATGCACAGTCAACGTCA